TGCACACCTGTAATCCCAGCACTCGGGAGGCTGAGGCAGGAGGATCATTGCAAGTTCGAGACCAGCCTGGGCTACAAAGTGAGCTCAAGGCCAGCCTGAACTGTACAGGAAGACCCTGTCTCAAAAAGACAAAAAAAAAAAAAAAACCAAGCAAAAAAACCACTTCTGTGGTAACTGCCTGGGATCACATATAAACGTCTCTTAGTAGCTATAGGACTTTGATTAGGTCACTTAACCTTTTTGTGCCTCCGTTTTATCACCTATAAAATGGGCTGAAGGAGGGTCAGGGATATAGCTCAGCGGCAGAAGTGCCTGCCTGGCAAGCACAAGGTCCTGAGTTCGATTCCTGGTACCAAAAACAAACAAAAAAAAACATAGGCCAAAGGATAGCACCTCCCTCATGGGATGGTTTTGAGGATTAGGTGCGCTAATGTGTTAGAGCATTTGTGTACATCATGTGTAGGAAGCATTGTATGGAAGTTGACGGTTATGTTAATAAACCCTTTATGAGTCGTGTATGTGAAAATGGCGTTGATCTATACGTCTTGCACTACGAATCCTGTCACATGGTTCTAGGTTTCTTGCCCCCGTCAGCGGTCCGCATGCTTAAGGGAGAGCTCTCCAGACCGGCCTGGGGCTCCGGGAAACTCAAGCGGCCCTTTTCCTGGATTCTGTCTCCCAGGTTCACAGCTGGAGCAGAGCTGTTGTTTCACCTGCGGCAGCTGCTGAAACAGCTGAAGGAACTAAGCGACTCGGTGCGCTATGAAGGCGACCAGCTGAAGCCGGGGGCAGAGCTGCTGAACGCCCAGGTCACAGAGTTGCTGCAGTGTCTGCTGCACAGGTCTGGACGCCAGAGCGGGGCTTCTGGGGCGGGGCGGAGGGAGGAAGAGGAAAACCGCCCTGCAGACCCTGAGCAGTGCGCTCTCCCCACGCCTGTCTCCCCAGGGCCTTTGTGGTGGAGAAACAGCCCTGCATGCCGCAGACGCCCCATCGGCCCCTCATCATAAAGACCGGGAGCAAGTTTACTGTCCGAACGAGGTTGGCATTTTATCCACGCTGCCTGTGTCTAGTTTTACAGCTCTTCTGGCTCTTGATCTTCTGCCTTTCTCTTACTCTTTTTTTTTTTCTGAGACAGAGTCTTGCTATGTAGTTCAGGCTGGCCTTGAACTAACTGTGTAGCCCGCCTGCTGGCCAGGAACTCATGGCAATCCTCCTGCCTCAGCCTCCCAAGTGCTGGGGCTATAGGCGTGTGTTGCACACCTGGTGCTTATCTTTTTCAAACATCTGCCCTATCCAGGAGGGGAGACTGACCACTGTCTTGTCCGTCTCCTTCCCCCAGGCTGCTGGTGAGACTCCAGGAAGGCAGTGAGTCCCTAACAGCAGAGGTCTCCATCGACAGGTGGGTTGGGACAGGAGAGAGGTGGGGCCCACGCAGAGGGAACGTGGGCAGGTAGGGTGTGGGAGCTGCTCACCGTTTACCATGGGGTCCCAGGGCTGTCTTTACTTTTTTTTTTTTTTTTTTTTACCGGGAATCAAACTCACAACCTCACACACGCCACTTGCCAGGCGGGCGCCCTGCTACTCAGCTGCATCCCCAGCAAGCCCCCCGGGCTGTCTTTTACCCTTTCCTTTTTTATTTTTTTTATTTTTGAGACAGGGTCTCGCTATGCAGTTCAAGTTGGCCCTGAGCTCACTTTGTAGCCCAGGCGGGCCTTGAATTCACCGCGATCCTCCTGCCTCAGCCTCCCGGAGTGCTGGGATTACAGGCATGCGCCACCACACCCCACTGCATCCTTTGCTTTCTTTCTTTTTTCTTTTTTTGTCTTTTTGAGACCGGGTCTCACCATACAGTTCAGGTGGCCTTGAACTCACTTTGCAGCCCAGGCTGGTCTCAAACTTGCAACAATCCTCCTGCCTCAGCCTCCGGAGTGCTAGTATTACAGGCATGCACCACCATGCCTGGCTACCCTTCGCTTTCTTACCTCACAGAAATAATAACTCCTCTCTCTTTTTTTTTTTTTTTCCCCTCTCTTTTGTTGAGCATTAACTGTGGTGTGCAGCATGTTGAGGACTCATGTCCTGGATTAAGAAGCCCTGAGTTAGTTATGACCAATGCACTATGCACACAAGGAAATAGGCTTGCAAGTGCAAGGTCGTGAGTTCAGTTCCCGGTACTGGAAAAAAAACCCAAAAAAACAAAAAACAAGGAAATAGGCTCAGAGACATTATGCCTCTGCTGTAAGGCCACACAGCTAGTGAGCTGCAGAGGTAGGTTTGAACTCCAGTCTGTCTGACCCCAAAGACCATATTCCTAATTGCTGTTCTCTTTTACCTCAAGTGATTTTTTAAAAAATTTCTTTGCAGGAATCCTCCTCAATTACATAGGTAGGTTCCTGATCAGGAAACTTGCAAAAATTTTTGCCCTGAATGCATGACCTACACACTACCCTTTGGTAGCTGTGGTGGGAGCACAAACAGGGAGGAGGGGGATTGGGGTGGGATGTGGATAAAGGGAGATGGGGAGGTACGAAGTGAAGGAGAACCTTTGTCGTTGTTTTCTTGTGGAGTGACAATTCAGACTAACTGCTCTTTGTGTCCGCCTGACCTCTTCCTCCTGTAACAGCTTCCGAAAGTTCAACATTCTGACCTCAAACAAGAAAACTTTGACTCCTGAGAAGGGGCAGAGACAAGGCTTAATCTGGGACTTCGGCTTCCTGGTAAGGAGAGTCAGTTGTCGTGATCAGGGATGGTGGTTCCTGTATCCACTTAGCTAGGAGGCTGAGGCAGGAGGATTACAAAAGTAGGTTCAACCAGTCTGGACAGTTTAGTGAAGCTCTGTCCGGTCTCAAAGTTTTGAAAAACTAAAATAGGACTGGGACTGTAGTTCAGTGGCTGAGCGCTTGCCCAGCGTGTGCAGAGCCCTGGGTTCAATCCCCAGCACCCACAAAAAAGAAAAGAGGAAAGGTCAGTAATTAGGCCTGCGGTCCAGAGGAACAGGCTGGTGGAAATGTCTAGGTTTTGAAACAAAACAAGGGTTTCAAGGACCTTGGCGTCCCCACTCTGGCGTTCTCTGTCCCTCCCTCGATTCACAGACACTGGTGGAGCAACGCTGCGGTTCGGGAAAGGGCAGCAACAAGGTAAGGCCGGGCTGAGGACGGGGAGGAGGAGCTCGCCGGACGGGCCTCTGATCCCCGCGTGTGGCCGCGGCAGGGCCCGCTGGCTGTGACGGAGGAGCTGCACATCATCAGCTTCACAGTGAAGTACACGTACCAGGGTCTGCAGCTGGACCTGACCGTGAGTGAGGGGCGGCGGGGCGGGCAGACGCGGACTGGAGGAGAAGGCGGCCGGGCAGGGGCCGGCCCTGCCCGCTGACGCCCCTCTGCTCCCCAGACGGACACGCTCCCTGTGGTGATTATTTCCAACATGAACCAGCTCTCCGTTGCCTGGGCCTCGGTTCTGTGGTTCAATCTGCTGAGCCCCAACCCCCAGGTAGGAGGCGGGCTGACCAGGGGGGTCAGAAGCTTGGCGGGGGCTGCGCCTGAGTCCCGCTGCTCTTCCCCGCCCTCAGAACCAGCAGTTCTTCTCCAGCCCGCCCGCCGCGCCCTGGAGCTTGCTGGGCCCGGCGCTCAGCTGGCAGTTCTCCTCCCACATCGGCCAGGGCCTCAACCCCGAGCAGCTGGCCATGCTGAAGGAGAAGCTGTTCGGTACTGGTCTGCTTTGCTAGCCCGTGCCCGCCTTCGTCCGCCCCAGCCCCTGTCCCCTGCAGCGCCCCTGCCCGGCCTGGCCTTCGGGCCTCTGAAGCGCTGCGCTCCCTGTCCCACAGGGAAGCCCTCCAGGACGGAGCGTTCCTTGTCCTGGGCCGACTTCAGTAAGGTAACGCCTCGCACCCTGTGTTCTAGCTCCCGGCCCATTCCGGCCCTTTCCCCGTCCCTTTCCCCCACCAGGGTCAGCTCCATGTCCCTCCTGCCTTTGCATTCCTCCTTCAGCGAGAGAGCCCGCCTGGCAAGGTACCCTTCTGGACGTGGCTGGACAAGATTCTGGAACTGGTGCACGACCACCTGAAGGATCTGTGGAACGACGGGTGAGGCCTGGGTCAGGACTCACATCGAGGCCTGTTTTTTCTGGCCTTTGCGCCCCCCGTGTGGCAAACAGAGCAAGAGCTATTGGAAGATCTCATTTCTTTTTTCTTTTTTTCTTTTTTTTTGTCTTTTTGAGCCAGGGTCTCGCTATGCAGTTCAGGCTGGCCTGGAGCTCACTTTGTAGCCCAGGCTGGTCTCGAACTCCCAGCGATCCTCCTGCCTCAGCCTCCCGAGTGCTGGGATTACAGGCGTGCGCCACCATGCCCAGCCAAGATCTCATTTTTTTCTTTGCCTTTTTTTTCTTCAATCAGATTTTATCAGTACATTTTAGATATACAGAACGATCACATTCATCATAATTTGTATCTGTACATGATATAACTTGATTCTTTTTTTTCCCATTCTCCTAACCTCCTTTTTTTTTTTTTCCTGTCTGTTTAAGACAGGGTTTCACTATGCAGTTCAGACTGGCCTTGAACTCACTTTGTTGCCCAGGCTGGCCTGGAACTCACAGAGATCCTCCTCCCTCAGCCTCCTGAGTGCTGGCTGGGATCAGAGGTGTGCACCACCACATTCAGCCTCTCTTTTCTTTGCCTTCTTTTTTCTTCCTTTTTTTTTTTTTTGGCAGTCCCGAGGATTGAGCCCAGGGCCTTTGTACTGGGCTTAATCCCCAGCATCCCCTCTTTTTCTTGAGATAAGGTTTATCACTAAATTGCTTAGGGTGGGTTTAAATTTTAGATCCTCCTGCCTAGGTCTCCCACCGTGCTGGGATTATAAGCATGTGCTGCCATGTCCTGCTAAGAGGTCACGTTTCTGAAACAATTACGGGCTGTATTTGCCGAGCACCCACTAGTCCTAAAGCCTTCGGAGTGCTCTGTGAATTCTCTCATTCGATCCTTGAGACTGTACTGGGGGAGGAAACTAAATTTTAGAGAAGTTAAAGAACTTACCCAAAGGCAGAGTTGGGATTCAAAGCCGAGCCTCTGAGATGCTAAGACCATGATGTTACCTGGCTTTTTTGGGGGGGCGGGTGGGAGACCGGAAGTTGAACTCGGGACCTCGCACTTGCCGGGCAGGCACCATGCCACTGAGCTGTATTCCAGCCCCTCCCCGGCTTTTATGAAGCGCTTTTTTTCTGTGTGATCTCACTGAATCCCCACCTTTCCAAACCCTGGAATTGGGAGGAGGGCACCATTAAAGGGAGGCGGCTGAGATGGAAACATTTACAAGGGACAGAGCTAGGGTCAAAACCCAGAGCTGACGCCCACGCGAGGGGCCCGCGGGACCTCAGGGCTCCTCCCCGTGCTCCAGGCGCATCATGGGCTTCGTGAGCCGGAACCAGGAGCGCCGGCTGCTGAAGAGGACCATCTCCGGCACCTTCCTGCTGCGCTTCAGCGAATCTGCGGAAGGAGGCATTACCTGCTCCTGGGTGGAGCACCAGGATGACGGTCAGCTGCCCCGCCCTGCCCTCCCCTGCCCGCGGCCTCTGCTGCCTGCGCTTGGCTTCCCGGCCTCCGTCCTGAACCTTTGAACCTTGCATCTGCTTCGCGTAGGGCAGCCAGGGCGGGAGGCCCTTCCTCCCTACCTACCGGCCCCGTGTCCACTCTCCAGATAAGGTGGTCATCTACTCAGTGCAGCCCTACACCAAGGAGGTGCTGCAGTCCCTCCCGCTGACCGAGATCATCCGCCACTACCAGCTGCTCACCGAGGAGAACATACCTGAGAACCCGCTGCGCTTCCTCTACCCCCGAATCCCCCGCGATGAGGCTTTTGGGTCCTACTACCGGGAGAAAGGTGGGAGTCTTTGACATACTTCATTGCCAGATTGAGCGCAAGGATCCTCAGATGTGCTTAACTCCAATGCCTTGCCGGGCGTGGTGGCGCAGGCCTGTGGTCCCAGCACTCGGGAGGCTGAGGCAGGAGGATCCCTGCCAGTTCGAGACCCCCCTGGGCTACAAAGTGAGCTCAAGGCCAGCCTGAACTGCACGGCGAGAACCTGTCTCAAAAAAAAAAGACAGACGCACACAAAAAAAATCCAGCGCCTTCCTTTCAGACATGGGAAAGCCAGCAGCCATAGTAGCTAAGGAATTTGTCCACGGGCTGTGCTAGTTAGCAAAGAGATAGCAGTTGTCAGGACCAGCTCCTTTGGAGGGACTCTGAGCCGAGGGCCCAAGACACTGACCTCTCCGCACCTGCTGTGTCCCCACAGTTAACCTTGAGGAACAGAGGAAATACCTGAAACATAAGCTCATTATGGTGTCTAACAGGTGAGATATGAAGCCTTTCTCCTGAACCTTTCTGTCTGAGTGAGTGGCTCTGATTTGCCCAGTTTCCATCCCGCCAGTCTTCAGGCCCTCCTGCCCCTCACTCTCTGAGCCTCTGGCGCTTTTCATTCTTCTCCTCGCTCTTCTTTCTTTGTTTTTCAGCTGCCACCCTTACGCTGGTGATGGTATTAATGGGCACCTATCCAATGCTAAGTGTGGTACTAGGTTTTCTAAAAATGTTTTGTTTTGTTGTTTGTTTAAGACAGGGTCTTGCTATGCAGTTCAGGCTGGCCTTGAACTCATCAGAGTCCTCCTGTCTCAGCCTCCTGAGTGCTGGGATTATAGGGCTGTGCCATCATGTCTTGGCATCTATCTAAGACCAAGCATGGTACTAGATTTTTCTAACTAGTCGGGCATGGTGGCGCACACCTGTTGGGAGGCTGAGGCAGGAGGATCGTTGTAAA